TATTTCTTCCTTTTTAAAAAATTGTGGTAAAATATACACAACATAAAATATACCATGTTAACAGTTTTAAATGTACACTTTAGGAGCATTAAGTACTCTCGCATTGTTGTGGCATCACCACCATCCACCTCCAGAACTTGCTCACCCTGTGAAACTGAAGCTCTGTACCCATTAAGCAGTCTCGCTCCATTCCCCTCCCAGCCCCTGGCAACCACCATTTTACTTTCTGTCTCTATGATTTTGACTACTCTATGTCCCTCATATAAGTGGAATCATACAGTAATTGCTTTCTGGGGACTGGCTCATTCACTTAGCATAATGTCCTCACGGTTCATCTGTTTTGTAGAATGTGTCAGAATTTCCTTCCTGTTCAAGGCTGATTCATGTTCTGCTACATGGAGAGACCGCATTTCGCATCTCCATTCATCTGATGATGAACACTTGGGTTGTATTCCACCTCAGTCTCATTTCTGTTGTTTTTGAAATTTGATTAGTAACTTTATTCCAGATGGGCTCCCGAAGACAGGAGAGAGTATCCAATGGTCTGACGCTATTCTAGAGATTGGCCTGGTCATCCCTTCAGCTTTGGCCTTGCAGATTTGCAAAAATAGCGGTGACTCTGAGCATAGGCAGTGGATTAGATGTGAGGGGTAAGGGAGGATCTTGCACTGTAAAACTTATGCTGCTTCACTGCTCAAGTTTACCTCACATCAGGTAAAAGGCTATGCAGATGTTTTCTGCTGGGTTGCTATGGATTCCAGATGTGTAGTACTTGAGCAGACAGAACACAGAGTACCCTTACTGCGGTCCTAATTTACCTGTTTCCTCAGCAGCTATGTCCATACCAGCCAACTAACTCCCAACCCCTCAAGTCCATCTAACCTCTTCATGTAGTCTTGGCTTGTAGTGTTTTGCGGAAACAGGAGTGGATCTATGGCAGAAGCACTGGCATCAAGGGGCATTTCCCAAGCTTGTCTGATCACAGACTCACCTGGGAAGCTTGATGAAATACAGATTCCTGGGCTCTATCCCAGAAGTGACTGATCAGAATCTGTAGGGGAGGGGCCAAGGAATCTCCATTTTAACAGGTGCCTTTAGAGTCTTATGAGGACACCATGAGTAGAGAAGCAAACACTTGACTTAGATCAGAACACCTGAGTCCTACTGAACTTGAGGTGTCTGGAGAGTTCCAACCACATTTATTGAGCAGGACCCATGCTAGGTGCCTAACAGAACAAGAGGAATATTGGACTGGGAGTTGGCTGGCTGCTCAGAGCAGACTCCCAGGCATCGCATTGGCTGGGTCACTGAGTATTACAGCTGAGCCTTGATTTTGTGGCTCCAGAGATTTAACATTGTCTTTATAGCAAGTGTTGATGTCACTATGGTAGAGTGTGATTGTATCCCAGACAAGTGAAGGAATGGTGACTGGTCCCTCCCTAATATAGGAACACGGCTCCCTGGTGGCTAAAGCATCCATGTCTCCCAGATTTGGCATCCCTGACCTCTTCTAGGATTTTCCACTGTAGGCTTGGATTCTTGTGGACCTGGTGTGGAAAAGAGCCAGGCTGTTCCTTGCAGGGAAGAGGAAAGAACCTCAATATTGGAGTCAGAGTAACTTGCGTCTGAATCTCCATTCCCTTGTATACTAGCTGTGTGACCCTGAGTACGTTTCTGAATGTCTCTGAGCCTCTATTTCCTCACAGTATAATCAGGGATGATCAGGTGGGTATGAGAATTAAATGAGATTGTGCATATACATTGTTTAACCCAACAAACACTTAAAGCCTTCTCTGTGCCAATTCTGTGTCCTGTGAGCCTGGGGCAGTAACCAACACCTGGTCAGGTTTCAGGGTGCCCTTTCCTTTCTCCTGCCATATTGCCTGTTCCATTTAGCACACTGCTCCACACGGGGGAAAAGAAGGCAATTCCTTCTTCCCTGGAATTGCCTCACTTCCTACCAAGTTTGTTTTCCTCATGAACTTTTTTCTCCTCTGTGGAAAAATAGAGACTTTGATTAAGCTTTTTCTGGAAGAAGTTTTTGGACCCACTGCACCCTCTATGGGACACTGCCCAGATCTCAAGGTGCTTGGTGGCAGTGGAGCCTGAGGCTGGGGGCCCAGGCAGAGGCTCCCCAGCAGGGCGTGGGAGATGTCCTGGCTTTCATGGATAGCTGAATACCTGATGTTGACTGTTTCTCCTCCCACTCTCTCTCTGCTGCTTCACCTGCAGAGCTAAGTCTGGTTTGAATTGAAATAAGCATCCTGTAATATGTCCTTTTCCTTACGAACTTGTACTTGCCCACAGGCAGCAGAGATTCACCATTTGACTTCCTACCACGAACTAAAAGAGTTCTATTTGTTTGGCCAGGCACGGTGGCTCACGCCTGTAATCCCAGCACTTTGGGAGGCTGAGGCAGGCAGATCACCAGAGGTCAGGAGTTTGAGACTTGCCTGACCAACATTGAGAAACCCCGTCTCTACTGAAAATACAAAATTAGCCGGGCATAGTAGCGCATGCCTGTAATCCCAGCTACTCAGGAGGCTGAGGGAGGAGAATCACTTGAACCCAGGAGGCAGAGGTTGTAGTGAGCCAAGATTGCACCATTGCATTCCAGCATGGGCAACAAGAGTGAACCTCTGTCTCAAAAAAACAAAAAAAAAATTGTATCTCTCAAGAAACACCACCACTTTATTTTTAACTTTTTTTTTGTGTGTGTGGTAAAATGTATATTACATAAAATGTGCCAATTTAACCATTTTAAAACATACAATTCAGTGTGGCATTAAATACACTCACAGAATGGTGTTTATGCAACTATAAACACTATTCCAAAACTTTTTAATGACTCCAACCTGAAGCTATATCAAGTAAACAATAACTCAGATTCCCCCTCCCCCAAAACCCCTGGTAACCTGAAATCTACTTTCTATCTCGATGAATTTGCCTAGTCTAGGTATTTCATATAAATAGAATCACACCGTGTTTGTTTTTTTGTGTCTGGCCTATTTCACTTAGCATGTTGTCAAGATTCATATATGTTGTAGGAAGTTATCAGTACTTGCTTCCTGTTTCTGCCAGAATAATATTCCATGGCATGGCTAGACCACATTTTGCTTATCCATTTATTTGTTGATGAACACTTGAGTTGCTTCCACCTGTTGGCTAAAGTAAGTAATGTTGTTCTGAACATTGTCAATATACAAACATTGGCATATAACGTTTGAGTCTCTGCTTTGAATTCTTTTGGGATATGCCTAGGAGTAGCTTGCTGGGTCATATGGTAATTTTTTGTTGAACTTATGGAGGATCTGCCAAGCTGTTTTCCACAGCAGCTGCACCATTTTACATTCCTACCAGCCGACAATCACCTTTATACATGCAAGGTTGTAAATGATATTTTCCCCAATTTTCTAAGTAAAACATATGAATTATCGGAAAGTATAGGAGAAAAAAGAAAAACCTACTTATAATCCTGACTGCTTAAAGGTAATAACTATTATTCTATCATATTTTCTTATTTATTTGTATTAAAAAATTGAGACAGGGTCTCACTATGTTGCCCAGGCTGGTCTCAAACCCCTGGGCTCAAGCTGTCCTCTCACCTCAGCCTCATGAGTAGCTGGGATTACATGTATGTGCCACCTGGGCTTCTATCATAATTTCTTTATGTCTCTTTCCTACATTTCTTTTCTTGCACATAGTGAATATTAAATTTTATATCACAATTTTGTGTGACTTTTTTCACATAATATTCTAGCATTGGGCTGGGCATGGTGGCTCATGCCTGTAATCCCAACACTTTGGGAGATCAAAGGGGGTGGATCATTTGAGGTCAGGAGTTCAAAACCAGGTTGGTCAATATGGTGAGACCCCACGTCTACTAAAAATATAAAAATTACCCGGGTGTAGTGATGCATGCCTGCAATCCCAGCTACTGAGGAGGCTGAAGCAGGAGCATCGCTTAAACCTGGGAAACAGAGGCCGCAGTGAGCTGAGATCGTGCCACTGCTGTCCAGCCTGGGTGACAGAGTGAAACTGCATTTCAAAAAATTTAAAAAATAGACAAATAATTAAAAATAAATATTCGAGCATTAGTACCATCTCATCTCGTCAGAACTCTTCAAAATATTTGTATGAACTACAGCTCAATTAGAGGTGATCTCTGATTTTTATCAGCTTCTCCCAGGGCTCCTTGACACTGGTCTGGAATAGCTCTTTGCTCCGGTTAGTTGAGAGAGCTCCTTTGCCAAGAGGCCTCCAAGCCAGGGCTGGGCCAACTGTTCCCTTTCCACATTCTAGCAACAATATGCTGGCCACTTCCTGAACAGGGAGGGTGGGCGGAGCCAGCCTGGAACAAGCTGCCCAGCTCCAGAGTAGCCAGACTTTCCCCTGCCTGTCAGCACCTACCGCTGACCTGTGCCTGTAGGATGGAATGTAGGGGTGGGCTGTGTGACTCTATGGTACTGACTGGTCCATATTCTTGGAGGCCACACTCTGAGGCTGCCAGCCAAGGGGTGCCCTTAAGTTGGTGAAGGCACCCCAGCCAGCTGGAGCATGGGTGGCTTCCTGAACAGAGCTAGCACTGGGGAGGGGGTTCTGGGGGTCCTTTCTCTCCTAACAGGCTCTGGTTTTGTCTCAATGACAGTATTGCTATACCTGTGGGATATGACAAAGACAACTGCCAGAAAATCTTCAAGCAAGAGGACTGCAAGTATATTGTGGTGGAGAAGAAGGACCCAAATAAGACCTGTGATGTCACCGAATGGATATCGTAATGTGCTTCTAGTAGGCACAGGGCTCCCAGGCCAGGCCTCATTCTCCACTGGCCTCTAATAGTCTATGATGGTGTAGCCTTGCCTATCAGTAAAAGATTTTTGAGCAAACACTTGAACATGTGTGTACTTTTAATTTATAACTTATGTATACATTGATTTAATACACATTATAAAGTATACAAAACATTTAAGAGGGAGACAAAAATACATACAAAGGGCCAGGCACAGTGGCTCATGCCTATGATCCCAGCACTTTGGGAGGTTGAGGTGGGTGGATCACTTGAGGTCAGGAGTTTGATACTAGCCTGGCCAATATGTTGAAACCCTGTCTTCACAAAAATTCAAAATTAGCCAGGCGTGGTGGCAGGCACCTGCAGTCTCAGCTACTCCTGAGGCTGAGGCAGGAGAATCACTTGAACCTGGGAGGTGGAACTTGCAGTGAATTAAGATCACACTACTGGCCGGACGCTGTGGTCACACCTGTAGTCCCAGCACTGTGGGAGGCCAAAGTAGGCAGATCATCTGAGGTCGGGAGTTTGAGAGCAGCCTGAACAGCAGGGAGAAACCCCGTCTCTACTAAAATATACAAAAATTAGGCCGGTGTGGTGGTGCATGCCTGTGATCCCAGCTACTTGGGAGGCTGAGGCAGGAGAAGTGCTTAAACCCGGAAGGCAGAAGCTGCGGTGAGCCGAGATCACACCATTGCACTCCAGCTTGGGCAACAAGAGTGAAACTCTGTCTCAAAAAAAA